TTTATATATATATATATATATATATATATATATATATATATATATATATATATATATATATATATATATATATATATATATATATATATATATGGGATTTGCAGGCTGGGAAAGAAAGTTTTTAGTTATAAGTAGTATTGTAAACTATGCCTAAGCTATCAATTAAAAAAAAAAAAAATTTAATGCGTCTTTTTTCCCTTCATCTTGTTTTATGTTGCATGTAATGAAAATTTCACGCCGCCCCCTTAGCGCCCACCAGAGCCCCCCAATCGCCCAATTTCGCCACAGCGCCCCCCAAACTCTCGCCACCGCCCCCCTTGGGGCGGTAGCGCCCCCCTAGGGGCGGTAGCGCACACTTTGAAAACCACTATGTTATTCCATGTCTTCCAACTTTTCTGTACATCAATATTGGTGACTCTTCTCCAGGTTCCTCCAGGTCTTCCCCTTGACCTTTTACCCTGTGGATTCTATCCAACACTTTTCTTGTTATACAGCTGCCTGACTTCCTGAGAGTATGTCCAATCCATCTTCAACGCCCAGCCTTTCCACCTCATCTCTAACAGTCATTCTGCCTGTATTGGTTGTTTTAGTTCTTCGCCAGGTTACTATGTCCTGTTCCTATCTTCTATTAGCTCTACGCCTTCCTCTCTTGCTTTTCTTCCTTTGTGGCGTCAAAGGCTTAGTGGTTAAGCTCTCAGACACGCAACCGTAAGGTCGTTGGTTCGAATCGCCTCAGGGGCTCGGCGTTGTGTGCTTGGGAAAGGCCCTTTCATGAATTTCTCTTACTTCACCCAGGTGGGTAGGGGTACCCAGCTGTAGACAGTGAAAGATCTGGTCAGTTTATTAGTGTTTGAGTGAGTGCTTAATCAGCTGCTTGCACTGTATGTTTCTCGGGAAGCAGAGTGTTCTATGGTCTTCTGGGGTAATTATAATGGTGTGTAAAGCGCATGGAGCTTGCTGTCGACCGTGGATATGCGCTATACAAATGCTATTTATTATTATCATTGATAGTATTTATTATTATTATTATTATTATTATTATTATTATTATTATTATTATTAATGTTTTTGGAGTGAATCATGGCGTTTGATATGCCCAGAGCCGTACCTGGCCCAAACCCAAAGATGGGTACAACAAACTGACTGCGAACCTTGTTTTTTTTTAGAAAGAGTTTAAGGCACTCACAACACAAATAGATCTAGGCCATGTAAGGGCTTAAAAGTGGAGGTGTTGTTACTAGAAAGTGACATGTAAAGAAAAGAAGACAGAGAGATAAGGATGGTATTGGGTGTAAAGAAGGTATAGAGATATGGACGATAAATTAGTATGTCTAATAGGAAAGAAGGAGCAAACCACACCAGAGCACCCGCCAACCGCCCACAACCTTACCTCTGTCAGAGCATTCCACAGGTCGTCATGGAAAGCGTTGCTATAGGCTAGGTTAGTCAGGTAGCGCTGGAGAAATGTACATCAACATTTAATTTACAAATTAAAGTAAATTCTTTTATTTTTAGCTCCACCCCCCGCCCCCCCATTTTTCCGATATTCCCTACTCAATTTGAGACTGATACTCTCTTTCCTCCCCCTCCCCCTCCCCCTTTCCACTCCCCCACCTTTCAAATATTCCATACTCAAACAGAGACGGGAATCAGTAGGGTTTATAATGTCAGACATGCATACATAAATACATAATTATAAATACATACATATATACATAAATACATTTAAAAAATACATACATAAATACACGATATCACACCAATCTAAAAAAATTCCCAAACATGCAATTGCTGTTCTCCACTGAGCAGCGCCCTGCTTTTTTGAGCAGGGGTTATTGTGTCTTTCTCAAGGACACACCTCAGTGACAAAACACCCATACCGACCCTTGCTTGGCATTATTTTTGAGTCTAAACTCACAATTTATTTAGTCAGTGGAGACCCCATATTCTTATGAACGGTTTTTAGATTTTAATTAGGCCTATAGCTTGCTCACTTTCGTCAAACTGCGGTTGATATAATGAAATCAGTGTTCTCTTCTCAGGTCTGTTTGTTTGTTTGTTTAGTATAGGGTTTTACGGCGCTCGCAACTGCATAAGGTCATATGAGCGCGCGGGACACACCTAATCCTTTTTCGTTGGTAGGAAATTTTGAATTTTGCCCGGGTGGCGGCCGAAGCCTACTCTTATCGATTTTAGACCACCAAGGGATCTTTAACGTGCGCAACTTGCACACGGGCCCTCCGAGATTTTTCGCCCTTGTCCGAGAAGGCTAGGTGTAGATCTTTCCTACCAGAAGATCAGGGGTGTGGCAGAAAGACAGCAGTTAGGAGGAGCCAAGGAGTAGCAGTAGAAAGGCTGCAGAAAGAGTCAGGAGCCCAGAGGAGGGGGCAAAGGAGGTGAGGGGGTGGGGGCAGAAAGTGGAGATGAAAGCAGACAACAGAACATTGTTAGAGATCAGGAAAGGATGTGAAAGGAGACCATTTTAGAGAAGAAAATTTTTTGGTCGCTACCCGGAATCGAACCCGGGACCTTTGAATGAGAGGCCAACACCTTAACCTCTAGGCCACGAGAGCCCCCCTTCTCAGGTCTTTACGTACGTGTCTTAAATTACCAATATTATTATGTAGAAGCACATTAATGAAGGTCGCTGTAAATTAAATTCCGACTCGCTTTGTTTGGTGTTAGCTTAAGATATTCTTTTTGTTTGGTCGCTGGTCTGCAGAAGTGGCATGCACAGTTCCGAGGGCATTGGTAAATATAAAAGAGCTAGACTATTTTAAACTAATTTAACGCTGACAGACGAAAGTAAACAAGCTATAAACAAATAGGTAGGTGCTTTAATGCCCCCCCCCCCCCAATCAACACAATGTAGATCATTTAGGAGATGGGCTTCCGACCCTGCCTGTCAGGGACTACCCGGGCTGAGAGGGATTCAACATCCTAGAAGAAAGACTCAAATACTCGATAAGAATTATCCCCTCTCGGGAATCGAACTTGGGTCTCCTGTTTACGACGGCAAAGCGCCTCACCGCTACACCACAGACGCCGGTAAAACAGTTAGGTATGTATGTGTGTGTGTGGGGGGGGGGGGGGTACAGTATAAATTGTGAAGAATGGCCACTCGTTGCCACTTACCTTCAGTCCCAGACGGAAAGTTTCAAATCCCAGGAAGTGACGCATCATGCGAATAATGGAGCCACCCTAAAATATATCAAAAGGCAAGTTTCATTACGACAGCTATGTTAACAACTATATCAGAAGGATCGGCGTCTAGAAAACAACAACAACAACAACAACGGAAAAAATAACAGCAACAACAGCAGCCACCACCACCACCACCACCTAAAACAACAACAACAATAACAACAACAACAGCAGCAACAACACAGTCACCTTAGAGTAGGAGATATCATCAAAAATCTCGTTGATCTCGTCCGGATGGTAGACGGGTACATAGACAGGGTGGGAAGAGACAAGGCCGTCAAACGAAAACGCCCCCTGTAACTCTCTCTGCACGAACACCTCAAACTGGAATGATAATGATAATAGTGATAATAGTGATAATAGTGATTATAGTGATGATAGTGATAATAGTGACAATAGTGATAATAATAACAATAACAAGAATAATAAACATGATAATTGCAATAATTATGATATTAAGAAGAGGAAGAAGAAGAAGAAGAAGAAAAAGAAGTAGTAGAAGAAGAAGAAGAAGAAGAAGAAGAAGAAG